ACATTGGAATTTCCCCATTGTGGTACAAATACAGGAATATCTATCTATCTTACTTATTCCGTCATTCTTTGTAATAATGTATAACTCTTTAAAGCTCACTACTATTACTCATTTAATCTCTTTCAGTCACATACTGTGGCATACATTTACTTTTGTATATATTGTATTATATACATACTTAGGTCTTACTATATTTCTATTTTTTATTTTTACTTATCTGTATATACCTATATATACATTTTCTATTTCTTTATATATTGTGTTAGATATATAAAGAGTTCATTCAGGTTACTGTGTCCTATTCTTAGTCAGGTCATTACTACCTCCTCTTTTCAATCTTCCTCCCCTGTTTCTATCAATTCCCACTCTATTTTATATTGCTTATAATTGTCTTTAGTTTAATGCTCTGTTTACTTTTTTAACAGCTTCTTTGGTTAGTTTGTCCACTCTCTCATTACCCATACTGCACGTGTGCAGGAACATCCTTTTTGTTTACCATATGATAGAAAGTGAGATTTCCATGTCTTTTTTTAATTATAAAGCATGTCTAGGAGCTATATAAATACTGTGAAATGCACACAACCCATATATTTAGAAACTCTCCCTTTAAACGAGCCGCCAGGACCTCCGTGACATCTACAGTCCCTGCCACCAACAACCATGCTCCCAGCATCTGGGCGGGCCACATTCCTTTACCTGTGGTTACTCAGACAACGCAGTCAGTCAATCACAAGGCAGGCTTTTTATTATTACTGAGATGAAACACAACACAAAACGCCCTGTTCTTGCTGAAGCTCCAGAGAGCAGCGTGAGAGAGGACATATAAAACTATACTGAGATGGGTTTTTGGTACTTAAACCCACAAATATATCTTCTTTTGGATATAAACATTTCAAATAAAACACCAAAAAAAGTATAAAATATGGGACCTTTAATTAATTGTGAGTGTATTTCCACTATTTCAAATAGAAGCTCTTTTACTGGTCACTGTGATGGGAGCTCTGTTAGGTTTGGTTTGCTCAGCCTTTTCTAAAACCATCCAAAGTATTAACAACACATTCATTTATACACTTAAGTTTGATGTCTGTTTGCGTATTGCAACTCTGTGCCTAGAAACTGCAACTGCAGAATCAATGTTGTCCATTATTGGATCTTTTGATTTTCACCTGTACGTACTGTGCTTTTACTTTCTGTATAACTATACTAACTAATTTATTAAATCCAAACTTTCCTTTCTTGCCTTAATTAGAAGTGACGCTAAATCTACCACCTGTGGCTCTAGTACCCACACAGAGGTTGTAGGTCACATCACAGTGGGGCAGAACTCACTCCGGATCAGTGCAGTAACTCATTGCTAGTAATAATATTACACTTTCCCCACTAACTAGTAGAGTAACTAATTACTAATACATTTCAGCAATAATATTAGTTACGTCTCAAAAAACAATTAGTTATAACATTACTTTTGTTGGCACCTCCCTACTAATCTGAAATCCAACAATCTACCATCTCATTCTTGGATTTATTTTTGTAATTGTGGAGGAAACTAGCTTGGAAGATGTTGACCAGCTGTAAATATTTCCCTTTACCTTGATTTTAACAAACCAAACTGGATTTTAATCTTTTAAACTCTGACTTTTGGGGAGAAGGGGCAATTACCAATTTTGAGGGGAGTTGCAGTAAAAGAAATATAGCTTATAGTGTAACTAATTACTGTTAGCAAGGAGTAATAAGTAAAGAAAAAAATATTACTTTTGAAAAGAGTAATTGGTAATAAATAGCATTTTTTGGCCAACACTGCTCCAGATCTCTTGATGCTTTATCTCCTGTCCAGACAAAACTTGATTGTACTGTTCCTTTCCTTATCCAACAGTTGTAGCACGATCTCTTTCAAACTACACCAATAGCAACACATCCGTTAAGATTTGTTTACAAAAAAAAAAATTGTGCTCGTATTTATAAGAGTTTGCATTGTAAGAGAAGTGGACAAATTGTTTTACAAATTTCACAAAACCACTCACAGGTTAGCCGGTTAAGGACTGGGGTTGAGTAGACCAAAATGTTTTCCTGGCAGTATTAATAATAATAATAATTATAATAATAGGAATAATCCTTCTTGAATACTTGGAATGCATGAGCTCCAAATACGTTTCTGGAGAAGCAACTAACAATCAGTCGAAAATTCAATAATGTTAACTATCATAAAAGACCATGAAAACCCTCAAATAGTCACATTTGAGACATTGGAACCAGTATATTTTTATAATTGCCTGTCCGGTGATTGATTAATCGACCTAAGCGCATGTGAAAATTGCAATGAAATGTCCCCCTGGTCAACTTTACCAACTAGGGTAAAGCAAGGACCCGACACACATAACAAGTACTATTTTATAGCTAGCGTATCTACACTGTCACTAACAGCTGTCACAAGGAGGAGATCCTATTATGACAACTAATGAAAGGCACTTAAGCAAATGTCAACAGTTAACAGGGTTACAGGATTTCGTAGGGTTTTCACGACCAAAAATAAACTGAAGCCTCCATTCATCTTGAGATAGGGAAGATAGCCACTGTGTTCAACAACAATATTATTTGGCAAAAAGCTATTTCTCACATCACGTTTTTTTTTTTTTGTCAAGATTTATTTTTGCTTTTTTTGGTGATGTGGCGACAACAGCAGCACCCAGAAGGTGATTTGTTGGACCAGCAGTCACACTGTTAAGTAGAAAAAAAACCCCAAAAACAATACAAGGCTACCAGAGAACAACTGATGGGCCGTTTCTTTTGAATGAGAAAAAAGCCAAACAATGAAATCCTGCATGACAGTAACTTGTAGCATCTATTTTCAACATACAGTACAAGTAAACTCAACAAAAACTCTTTCGGTCCTTTTTAAACTTAAAACATTATAATCCAGCAGTTACAATTATTTGTAGTGGAAAAAAATGCACTATTTGTCATGTACAACTTGGAACAATCCATGTTCGTTTACATGTGCCACTGCATCTATACCTTATTTAGACATACTGCAATATTATACATTTTCATGAATCCTGGGAGTATTACTAGTTTTCTTCTGCACAGCCACTTTACTTACAATTCTTCAAATCTGACATTCTCAGCCTAAATGTGCTCAGGAGATACTGAACGGAACAATCTTTAACGTAATAGCCATCAAAGCAACAGAGAGAAAGCAGTTTCCATCCCACGCCCACAACTTTAATGTCATAAAGTAGTCCATTCAATATTAATATTATGCAATATTTGTGTATTCATCAGAGAAAATGAGAAATGACATGCCGAGGAGGCTCCGTGAATAGATTAAGGATGCTGCTGTCTGTGTCTTTAAGAGAGGCTACTGTGCCATCAATAACAATCTCAGAAGAACGACAGAATTTGGGGGCGAGTAGCAGGACAAACGGAGGTGAAACTCAGGGGTGGCAGCTGCAACAGTTAGTCAATGTCCATTTCAGGGAGCTTGTTCTCCGCCGTTCCCTTTTCCGTGCCCGCGGATGTGGCTTTATCTGGGTTGCATGGCTGGCTCTCTGTTCCCTCCTGCCCATTGACTGGCCCATTCTCTGTCTTCTCCTCCTTAGGAGGCTCCACCTTGGGCTTGGGTTTGGAAACCACAGGGTTGCAGGTTGAATAAAGCTCCTGATAAAAGAAAGAAAGCAATCGTTATAGAGGAAGGGTAGAACAATTTTAAGAGATCATGTTTTGCTTACTTGATCAGAGTTTTTAAATTAAATTTGGTTGCAGATTTAAATAAAAATCTACAACCAATTTGTACAGAGAAGATTTGTTTTATTATTTCACACTTCTACAAACTTGCAACTGGCCTTAGAGATTGCAGTGGTTTGTGTGGGGCTGGCAGTTGTTTAACTGCTGGCACTTTGGTGTCAAAACATGACAACATAAAGCAATGTTTAAATCATGGACCTCCTGCAAAAGTCATGTGTCACTGTTAGATATTTGCCTGCAGGAAACCAGACTAATTACAGATCTACAGCCCCTGGTGGCAAGCTACCATAACATTTTCACATCCTCCTATTTCCGTGTGTGTGCGCCTTGAATGCACTCTCAGTACCTTAGTCTTGGCCTGAATCTCTCCAACTTTGACTACTGGTTCCAGAGTGAGGTC